CTCGGGGAATTAAAAATTTTGCGAGATCTGAGGAGCAATTGTGTACTTATTTTTTTAAAATAATTATTATTAAGAAAATTATTTTTAGATATTCTGATATAAAATATAAATGGATGATTTTTTATATTAAAATTTTGAATTTAGAGAAGTCACCTAATTATTTTGATGGCATAAAAAGGGAATATTTTGGTATAATTATATTAATCTATAATTAAATTGTTTTCAATTTACTTTGAATTTATCAAATGCGATAAATGGATAATTCTTCATATAAATACTATAACTGATTTCAAAAATCCTAAATTATCTTTAAGCTTATGTATTTCAATGGTTATTATTTGAAATGAGAGAAGAACTCATAAATTAAGTCCTTTGGTGTTGACATTAGAAATCAAAGTTGGCGTCGACAACACCCATTAGCTGTACGGTTGGTGTTAATATTGGAGGTGACAATTAATTTTACTGAACTCAACCGATATGCATATAATTGGGTGATTATGATAGGAAGATCTTAGTTAAGTAGTAATGTTTGGCAAATTATAGTTGGGAGATGGTAGTAAGATGATTATAGTCGGATAATTGTGATTGTAGGAGTATAGTTGGGCGATGGTGATAATGGGGATTGTAGGCAGGTGATAATGATCGGTCGCGAATATAAGTAATTTTAGTCAGATAATGATGGTTGGTGGATCATATTAAGATGATGGTGGTCATACAAAAGTAATTCAATGATAGTAGTTCGATGATAATAGTTGGACGATGGTGATCATGCCTGGTGGATGAATGGAGATAGCCCAATGGTGGTTGTTAGATGACTATGGTTTAATAGTTGCATATAGATATTGGTGGTCCATTCAAGATGGTCTGGTGATTTTAGTCTGATCCTGCTATATGAATGACAGTAATCCAACGACATTACTGGTTGGAAAACGATGGCCCAATATCAATGCTCTAATAACTATTCATAGATGACAGTAATTCCATGTTTGTTAAACAATGTTGGTCGAGCAAAGCTTTAGAAAACCTATGAGTTTATATCTTTTCTCAAATACAAAATTAATAGATTTCAGATTTATTGAATTTATCTCATCGAGACACTCAATTTGATTATATGTATTTAATATCTGAATATCATTTAATCATCTAATTAATATTCCAAAAAAAAAAAACGCTTTGAGAGTGAGATCTTAGCTCATTAGTATTCAAATCGAATCATCTTTGGTGTTGCTGAGCTTATCTCATCAAGTCATTTTGTTCAACTATAAATATATTTAAATCAAAGTTTATATAATATTAATTTAATTCTAAAAGGTTTGAGACTGTGCTTGATCAACTAAAATATTTTCGTGAAACATCAAGCATATATTTAATATAGATTTTAAATAATAATAATAATATTTAAATTTAATGAATTAAGCTACCTAACTCCCACTCCCTATATAAAATATTTTTTTGGGAAGCAACATAAATTTTTTTATGTATAAAATGGAAAACAAAATGCTACACTTTTTCTTCAACAATAATGGTGTTTCCCAGACTTTGAGACCAAAGATAGTGAACGCAGATGATAAAAGGCACCTTCTACAACACGCTGCACTTTGTCTACTAAAAAATGTTTGGAGCGTAAATGTTTTTACTTATGCGCGAGCTCGAATGTCGTGCCTATCCCGTCATTCTATATGTATGCTGTTGCTCAATACTATTGCGTGTTGGCGCGTCTGATTATCTCAAGCAATATTGAAGTTACATCTGCATAGAATAATTTACTTCAAAGCTGACAGAGTTAACAAATAATTAGGCTTCTTAATTTTCGAAAGAAAGGATTTGAAAATAATGAAGGAAATTTATAATAATAGAGTGAGCCTAATTAAAATGCTATGAACAGAATTTTCCAAAACAATTAATAAAATAAATTTAACACTCTTAATAATTGAATGAAAAATTAAAATTAAATAATCAATTTTTAAATAATTGGAATATGGAACATATATAATAAAATATAAAAATTTAATTATAAAGGGCTAATTTTTTTATAGAGTGAGAATTCTCAAATAAAGAGGAATATGGTTTTATTACGCGGAATATGGTATATTGGCGGTGTCAAAGGGCGGTGACGGGAACACCAACAACCGGTTGCCGCATTTTTCTATAAGCAGAGGGGAGTGTTCAGTCAGCTGACCTCAATCAGTATCGATTCTGCTTGTTCACGCCGGATAAAGTTAACAAACACTTATTGTGTTACATCGTCTTCCTATCATGATGCGTCGCGAGAAGAGCAAGATCCTCATCTCGAGGCCACGGACACATCGGGAAAAGCACATAGTGGCGGCGAGCGCCGAAGTGTGCGGTCACCCAACGTTCGTCCATAGCAGGCCGACTTCGGCCTCCGACCCTTCAAGATGGATTCTCCTTCGAAGATTGGATACTTCCAGGGCTTGCCGGGTGTGGAAGTCAAAATTCTTCATGTAAGTCGCTTCCATGATTGGGATTTTGGTTTTAAGGTTTAGTAGTTTCAGATTGATTTAGGAGATTTTGGAAGGTTGATCGAGCCGGGAAAACTTTATAAAAAATTTAAGATTAGACCAAACAACACTGAAATTGCGATTTGATGGAGTAGTATTCCATTTCTTCCTTTGTATATAAATAATTTTGCTACAAAAATAAGAGGCGCACTAGATTGAATTTTTTTAAAAAAATCACGAGCTGTTTTTTTTTTTGTCATCATTTGGAGGCTGTTAGAACCTCTTGATTGGAAGCCTAAGCTCCCAAGGTGGGCTGCATGGAATTAAGATACTTATTAACTAATCATGTAATTAGGTTAAGTATTAAATTCTGAAAATTATTTGGCAATATTGATTTTTAGTCTGATTAAATTATAATAAATTATTTGATATTTATTCTTGAGATTTAGGATTTAAATAAAGGAGAATTAGATGCATAATAATAAAAGTGCTGCAAATCTCTTAAATCATATGGATTTAGCCTAAAATAAGAGAAAAAAACGGATTTAAGAAGGTGGCAGGCTTTAACCTAAATTCTTGCTGAATAATGCTAAATCTTGCAACCAGACAATCCCTTTGTAAACAATTATTAATTTATGGCCCTAATTACTTACTAATAGAATCATTTCTTTTGTGGGCAAATTAATTAAAAAAACAGAAAGATCGGAAAGAGTCTAAGAGGTTAAGTTTTGTACTAGATGCAATTAGTAAGCTTAGATTTTGGATGATAATGTAGATTTTTCTGCAGATTGGACGCTGGGGCTTTATTTGATTGAAATTTTTATGAAAGAAAATGGTTTTGAGTAGAATCATGTAGATTTTTAGTAACTCTTTCGAACAAACTTGGGGGAGACCCAGTCTCTAGAAAAAAAAAAAAAATGCCGCGTTATCTTTTTTATTTGTACTAAACTTTTGTGTTGGTTTAAGTAAACTTTTGTGTTGGTTTAAGATTTGAAGATTGCTAGCAAACTGATATATTTTCTCCTTTAAAATGATCAGGGGGATTTGAATGACCATGAGAGCTTGGTGAGTGCAATCAAGCAGGTGGATATTGTTATCTCCACCGTTGGAGGGCTGCAGTTGGCAGATCAGGTCAATATCATCGCTGCCATTAAAGAGACAGGCAACATTAAGGTCATTCTCTCTCTCTCTCTCTTCTTGTGTGCGAGGCCAACCTTATATTAATTTATTTATAATCGTTGATGATGAGTCGTCTATGGATCCTTATGCGAAACAATGTGACTGACAGATTTTAACGCTTGTGAAAGAATGAAACTTTGAATTTAGAATATTAAGGCTAGCTGAAGTTCAAAATTGTTAAAATTTATTGCAAAGTGGTACTCTTGTAAGAGTTGAAGTTTATTGTGTTATAACAGTAATTTAAAAGAATTGGGTCATAAAACAAAAAAGTTATGATTTTCAGTTGCTATAATTGATTTAACCGCATTAATCATAATTATTCGAAGTGGAATTACTGATTGGAATCATGGAATGGGAGCATTTTTACCTTTCAATTATCACTCTAATAGGGAAGATATAAATCATAATCACTTGAGTGCTTATGGCCTTATGGTTATAGAGAAGTTACTTGGAAAAAAAGGGGGAAAACTTAAAAGAGTTCAATAGCTTTTGTTTTCGAACATGTGCTTTGGTATGTAGAGATTTTCATTAAAAAATTGTTCTAGAACTAAATACGTAAATCGGTTCAGCATGAACTAAGCCTGTAGATATAATGTGCATAGTGTAAGAGTTTATTGGTTGAACAAAAATATTTGCAGAGATTTTTGCCATCAGAATTTGGATTGGATCCAGAGCGCGTGACAAAGATAGAACCTGCAGCATCTGCTCTCGCTCCCAAGCTTGCTATCCGTCAAGCCATCAAGGCCGCTGGCGTCCCCTACACTCTTGTCTCCAACAACTACTTCGCCGGCTACTCTCTCCCCACCTTGGCTCAGGCTAGCCCTCCCATTGACAAAATCACCATCTTTGGTGATGGAAACACTAAAGGTATTCATTTTTAATCCTCAAGAATGCCAAAGTAACCTAAATTTGAACCATATAGCTTATTTGCATGTGATCAATTTGCCTATATGATAGTAAAGCTAGCCCTTCCTTTATACTCTTCAATCTATCTTGTGATTACATCATTGAAGAAGATAATCTATTTGACCTGCTTGCTTTCAGGTGTCTTTGTTGTTGAGGATGATATTGGCATATATACAATTAAGGCAGCTAATGATCCAAGAACCCTGAACAAGACTGTATACATAAGGCCACCTGGTTGTATCTACTCTCACAACGAGCTCATCTCTCTATGGGAGAAGAAGACCGGCAAAACCCTAGAGAGGATTTACCTCTCCGAGGAAGAAGTTCTTAAGACTATCCAAGGCAAGCACCAATATTCCTTAGATAATTTGAGCTATATTGTCTATTTTTATGCATTTCTAAGGTTATCAGTTCTTCTTACGAGTTGATTTAAAAATAATAATAAACTGTTTTTTGATAAGCAAATTAAAAGTGCTCAACGGTTTGTTTTGACAGCTTTTTTACTCTTTTATTTTACAAACTGCCATCAAGTTTCTGTTTGGCTTTAATTTCCTTTCTACTTGGAAATTTCTAGTGAGAATGGAGTTTTCACATCAAAATCAGCTTATGCAGTAGCTATAAGAAAGCTATTGTCTGACTTTCTCTAGAGGCAAAACAAAAATCTATTAATGCGCACAAGTGATTTCAAAAACTCACATTTTCTAGAATAATTTCTCAAACTAATTTCAGAAAAAGTTTTAGCTACATCAAAAGATGCTAATAAGTTATTTTAAATCTTTATTAACACATAACTTTGCCTTGCAGAAGCCCCATTCCCTTTCAGCATAATATTGGCACTTAATTACTTGGTGTTTGTGAAAGGAGATTGTCTCAGTTTTGAGATTGACCCATCCGTTGCTGCTGAAGCTACTGAGCTGTATCCTGATGTCAAATACACAACAGTTGAGGAATACCTTAGTCGCGTTCTATAAATAAAGTAAAAATCTCATTTTCCAGAGGTTGGAGAACTTCTATGTTGCTTGTGAGAGAAATTTTTAATGTTATGCTGTTTTGAAGTATTGTATCCTTGTTTGGAAGTATGTTTCAGTGATGTCTAAATCATATATATCACTTTTGGTGTGTACTAATGCTTTATGAGTTTTGTATTGTATTTTGGGACCTTTTTATGAAGTTGTTTTGCATCAGATATGAAAAACTTCCTTCAGTTCTGTGATTAATATGGTAACATCTGTAGATGTTTAGAAAATGTTGATTAAATATGATAAGTGTTAGTCTATGTGGAATATGATTGTATCGATCAATCGGATTGTATTATTGTCTTAGATTTCAAGTTAATTTTTCGTGCTTGTACCCCTATTTGGGTTCGGGTGTTTTGCATACGAAATTTTTTTTCTCGTACAATGCCTCGATGCTGTGTACCTAGCTTCCCGGCGTTGTACTGTAAAAGTTTCATGAGAGAAAAGACAGAGTGTGGAGCATTGTAGCATTTTATATTCAGCTCTTTCAGCGCTGTCAGGTGGACTTAAGAGAGTGTTGAGTACTGTAATGCTTTGAGTGGCGTCCCTTCGTGAGTGGCATCCCTTCGTGGTATATGGAGGTTTTTCTTTTTTGTTTAGTGTGTGAGAACGATATAAGAGTGAATAGAAACAAGGTGCGAGGGAGAGAAGAGTAGTTTGTATTTATTTTTCTAAATTTTCATAGTAGATTTCTTAGTGTGGTGTGGCTTCATGATTTTTTTCCGATTTCAATTTTTTTCATATCAAATCTTGATGTTTTTTACTTTCCGCTACATTCTTTTTTGTTGTTGTTGTTGTTGCGTGGTTTAGTTTTATATCCAAGCAATAAGCCTTTTAAATTGAAAACTAGGAGTTGTTTAGTTTAAAACATGAACATGCTTTTTATCACTTAAATAATTTAATTATCCAATTAAGTTAAATCAATTACAAATCATGAACTAATGCTAAATAAGAAGGATCTAAATTCAACTGATTAAAAACTTGTTAGAAAAATTAAAACCCTAATGGAACAACTCCTTATGTCTATAGAAATACTATTAATTTAGTCTTTTAACAGTAAGAGCAGTATCAATTATGTTGTTGTTGTATGAGGTCAAGTTTAAAGATGGTGATTGAAGTTTTCAAAGGAGATGAGTCTTAGGTTGGGGTGATTGCTTAAGTCTGTGGAGGGCTTACATAGATTTCATTCATGATTTTGATGAGTGATACTTGAAAGAGAGTAGAAGTTAGATAGTTCTATTGCGAAGATGACCTTAATCTTTTAGTAAGGCTATTAGTTGGCTAGCTCTAATCTTCTGTTGGCAGCTGATTCTTGATCTATCATGATTAGGCTCTTGATACCATGAAAGAACAAGAAGAGAGTAACAGAATCCAGAAGAGAAGAAAGGAATTGTATTATTCATCTTAACTATATACAAAGGTCCATG